GATTTCCCAAGGTTCGGGGCATGGACGGCGAAACAGCAGCCAAACTCCAGAACACCTCCCGGACTTCTTGATTCCGCTTTGTTAAGCCATCCTGAAGCCTGCATTGTTTTCTATTTATGCATGAACATATGTATATCATCCGCCGTGCATGGTGCATGGTGAAATTCTGCATTCGGAATTACCTTGCTGAGCCTTTGCAAGCCCAAAGCCCGAATGGAAGGCCGGAGTGGTTGGAGCAAGTCTGGGACCTGCTAGACAGCGATGGCACCCGCCTCGTTGATGGGTTTGGGAATTCACGGTTTAGGGTCGGCTACCACAGTTAATGCATGCAGGGAGGCGGTATACTTGAACCTGAGCCCTGAGCTGTTGAAGCCGAATACAAGATACAATGTGTTCGCTCTGCATTACTAGTGCTCAGAACCAAGGTGTCATCCGTTTTGCTTTCCGTCGACTTTGTAGACCCTCAGCCCGAGATCTTGCTTTCCGGACCCGAAGATAAGGCGCAAAGCCAACATCATCCATCTCAATCCTCAAGCTCAGAAAGAAAGAAAAGCGAGAGCAGACTTCCTACTTGTTCTTGTTTTGGTGGTAGTTCGTATGCCATGTTCGATATTTCTGTTCTCGCCTGTGTACCAATATGGCAGCATCCTGAGCCGGTTCGATGTCAGAGAAGGCGAGAAGCACGACATGGGCACCAGTCACGTCTGACTCTGCACGAGTTTTGGGTTTAGGGTTTAGGGTTTTTCTAAGGACAGTTCGCACTGAATCGCCTTTCCTGTGCCAATGTCAACGTTGTGCTTGCGCAGCCGTTGCTTGCGGACACTGCCCGAACTGTCCCGTCATACGCCGAAGGCTACGCCTGGGTCCAGAAAGTTGCTACTGGTAGCACCAGTACTCGGACTGTCAAGAGTGCTTAATGTTGCTTGATGTGTTATGCCTCGTGTTATCATATTTTGCTGTTTTATAATATACTATGTGCTATGTTGTATTGTATGGTACTATATTGCGTTAATCTACTTTTTTTAATGTTGTATTGTACTATTATAAGTGCTGTTCGGGCCCCAAGCTTTGAGCTTAGGTACCAAGTCCATCAGCATCAACGAGTACAACAAGCTCAGGCCGTACATGGAGGCACCACGCTGGGGGACGGGTTCAGGGACGGTTCGCGGTTGAACTAGGGTTCAGGGCAGGACGCGCATCCTGTCGCAAGAGTCCCAGAAATCTGACCGGTTCAGAGCAAGAGAGCTGGGTTCCAGACTCACCAGCTTCAAGAGACCTCACCCTAAAAGCTTGCAAGCCTTCTGCATTTAATTGCCAGGTACGGAGTTAGGGGACCTGCAGAGACCGTCTGGGCGGTATTCAGAAAAAAATTTCAGATTCTGTTTAGCGTCACGCTCGCACCCCACCTGAGCAAGGTCTGTCGTTGAGGTTGTCGTACAAAGCCCTGCCGACGTGGAGCCATCCATGAAGGGATCCAGAATTGTGGGAGTCCTTCCCCTTGAATACTTGCAACATTTTGCCCCACTCATTTCGTGCCCTTGGTTAGGCCGAAAACCCGTCGCGTCGCACTCTGCATGTAACGAAGCCAAGGCGATCACATGACTCGGCCCCCTCACAACTCCGCCAGCTCTTCGCGCGAAGCTGTGGGATGATCGTTTCAGGTCAGGCTTTTCCTTCTTTGCTGCTATCGGACTCGAGCCTCGCGACTATACGGGCCTAAATAATTACTTATACTATTTTGAGGGGAGCCCAAAACCCTATTCTAGTGTAGAAGACTGAGCTTCACTATGACACTGTGCACACAACGATGTGCGTCGTCAACTTTCCAGTGCCATGAACGAATTGGGACGGCTTTATTTTTCACACAGACACAACGTTAAGTCTTGCTTCATCACTACTCATTTAGGAGGATTACTGCAAGCTGTACAGTACAAATGTTGTGGAGTGCGCTCTGCTGGCTTCTGCCGAGAAGGAGCATCTCATGCCTGCACAATCAAAAGCATGCAAACACGCATCACACTCCATCACTTTCACACTCCTCCTTGACCCAGGGTCTCCGCCCGTGGGTCACCAAGAAGCGTTCCTTGTAAATTCAAGCGGTTCAACCGCTCGTCATGCAGCTCAATGCAAGCTCATGTATCGTACTGCTCATAGCTGTCTTCTCGGTTCAGATCTGGATCTCTTTACATAGAGTGGTTCATTCCTTGAGCAATAAACACAGTACTCCAGCTTGAAAACCGGTCCCGCGTTTCGTAGTCCATGGCACTGAGGATCTGTATGCAACTTAGAGCGATTCGAATCCGTCTTGTAAAATGAGTCATGGGCCATCCGCTCAAAGGCTGCACCAGTAGGGTACGTAGGCTCCGGGCTCGATGTCATCCTCAAAGGCCTCGTTGTGGGATGAGGTTCAGGCGGAGGTGTAACTTCTCCAGCACGTGCAAGCACCGCCCGATCAACCTCCTCCTCAGCTGCGGCCTTGGCTGCGTCCCGCAGTTTCCTCAAGCGCCTTTGCTTGGGAGATTCTCTGCAAGCCTTCAACACCCACTTAGTGCCGTACTTCAGAAGCTCCCATATACTGACCGCCGTGAAGCACACAAGGACCGTCACGATCAACAGCTCGTCCACCCCAGCCATCTGGATCCTGGCGCCTGTGGTTTCAGCTGCTGTTGCCGGCTGAATCATCATTGCCCATATCAGACAAGTCAAGTAGAGACTCTTTGCATGCAAGGCTTGAATCGCCTCCTCTGGTAGCCCTCTGAATCCCCAAAGAGAAAGCAGCTCCCAAAGGCGAACCTTTCCATGCATTTTAGTCGCCAAATCAGCTAGCTGACCAGTGCCTCCCACATGTTCTACTAGCAGCTCCAAGTTCTCGACTTGCTCTCTGATCTTCGCACTTCTGACCTTCAAATGACGCGTGCGCCAACTTCCTGGTCCTCCAGCAATCATCGCAACTGCCGAGGCGTTGTCCACCAGAAGACGTCGTGGAACATGAGCACCTACCAACTCGTCCAGCAAACATCCAATGTTCTCAAGTAGCGTCGTTGCTGTTGAGGCTTCCAGCAGCTCTGCTTCCATTACCGATAGGGTAACGAAGGCCTGCTTACTGGCCTTCCATGCCACAGGGCAGCCATTCACCGTAACCACGGAAGCTCCAAACGATTTTTCACCACTTGGCGAGAAGCTCGCGTCACTCCACGCGACGAGTTCGGGCGTAGTCTGCTGGCACTCGTTGTCTGCCTTGTTCCCAATGACCATCTTCATTGATGCCGTAGTCTTCAAGTAAGCTAGCAGACGTTTGGCAATTTGGACAACACGGTTGGGGCACTTGCTGACTTTGGAAGCCATGTACGCTACTGGAAATTGCAAGTCTGGTCTGCAACGCATCATCAACCACAGCTGTTCACCCACAGCCTTCTGGCCTTGTTTGAGCTCGGCCATGGTGTAATTCTCCTCCTCAGATTCATCCCCTGCCAGCCATTCTCGCGGACACGGAAGCTTCGTAGACAGGGCATTTTCCATCCCATAGCTGCGCAGCAACTCCCGGATGTACCCTTCTTGTGATAGCTCAAACGCGAAATCTGGTCTTTGCTGTATCTCCATTCCCAGATACCGGTTCCGGTAGGTCCATCTGCCCATTCCAGCTCGCTGCAGGGCCAGGATTCTTGGATCCAGGAGTGGATTGCTTCAATGACCGGCTTCTCCGACAGATAGAGGAGATCATCAACGTAGGTGATGATAAGGGCCAGGAGGCTACCCTGTGACCTCAGCACATCATCCTCGTCGAACGCAAGCCATATCTCTGAATCCGCGGTGGACTGCTTCAGCACAATAGTGCGGCCTTGGAACGATATGCGGGCCTCTTTTAGGCGTTGGGTTCTGCACTTCGCCCAGATGGCCGGTGATTCACGAAGGCCGTATAAAGGCCGCATGACTTCCCATACTTCGTCACTCCGAGCAAGTCCAGCATCGATGAGAACCCTCGGAGGGAATATCGCGTACCTTGCTAGATGGTCTGGCCACGAAGCCAGGAGAAAGGCTCCTGTGACGTCGGAGGTTCCACCATACCAGCGCTTGTGAGAAGCGTAGGCTAAGGCTAGTCGCACCGTGTCGGCACTCACCCCACTGGCGTACAAGCTGAAAGTTTCGTCATCACGATCAACCTGATTCCCACACAGGACGAGTCGAAACTTTCTTCTCACCTTCTTGCCCTTGACCTGCGGTGGCTTTAAGGTGAAGACGCCCTTTGACTGTACCAACTTCAGAAGGCCTTGAGCTTCCATCTGCTTTGCTCGGGCAATTGGCATGGGCCTTAACGTACCATCCAGGAGCTGTGTCACCTCCTTCTCCAAAGCTTCCCTCCACTGATCCAAAGCAGCACGAACTTGCTGTAGAGGAACCGTATGGACCACTTCTAAGTCTCCGTCCAACTCTTGTAGAAGCCTTTCATAGTCGGGTTCCTCTTGCACCATTGCTGCCCTCAAACATGCTTCTGATGAAACCCTTCCACCGGCCGCCTTCAGCTGAGTAACCTCATCCATCATGTCTTCCAGGTAAGCCCGCACGTTGTCCACCTCATCATCTACTTGTTGCCCTGCTCGGCGACATTCTTCAGCAAGGATCTCCTCCTCCTCTATCATCATCCTCAGACGCTCAGATCTCTCTTGAAGATCCTCGAGAAGTTGATTTTGGCTTTCTGTAAGAGTAAGTAGCGCATCATCAAGAGTCTCAGCTTCTGGGGAGTCCAACGCCTTGATGAGATAGAGGTCACAGTGATCTCCCATGCTGCTCTCTGACTGCGGACCATTGT